ATAACCTTAAAAAGTCATTGCACCGAGTATGCTCAGTTGAAAGCAAAAAAAAAAAAAAAAGTCTAAGTCCCACCAACAGTTGGGTTCAATGCCCTGCGTGTGCTTGTGGGAATGTTATATTTAGCTACATTCCCTTCTAAACTTGTGTGAATGGCAGCTGACATATTGATTCAGAATAGTCTTTTCAATCAAAAGTGCTTCTAAACAGCTGTTTGCCCAATGAGTCAAAGTATATTTTGTGTTTTAATTAGTTTAATTGGGTTGGAGGGACCTTGGAGGTCTTCTGACTTTCTTTTCCAATAAAGCTTGAAGGATATAAATGGACATTTTTCAGCTAGAAATAAATTATATTTGATCTTTTTATAAAATTAAATGAAACAGATAGAATTCTTTGCATAACATTTTGAACTCAACCTGACCAGCTAGTCAAGGGGACCTGGTGCCTGTTTGATATTGCAGCCTAGCCTTCTTGGTTGAAGATTTAAATGTTCAAGCGTATTCTAAATTTGCATGGGCATAAAGTTATTCCTTGGAGCTACCTGGAATTTAGATCCAGGAGCAACCCTTTCCAATGTAGATAGTACCTTTGTCCCTAGGAATAGGTTGATCCTGTTCTCTTGTCTCAAACATTGTGAATTATGATGTCAGTTTATCTACTTCAGCTACAGTCTGAAGGAAGAGGAGAAGAAAAAATATATATTCTAAAATAGGCAAAGTCCTGGGAGAAGGAAATGCCTAATAAATATGAAATAGAAGAAACAAAAGCAGATGTCTCTCTGGAAGAGCAACATTTTCCTGGGGTCAGGTCTTGCGTTCAAAGAGATGGAGAGTATTTTGTCTGGAAAAGCTGAAAAAGCAATGAAATCACAATGTTGATATGGCTTTTGGGCCTATTAGAGTTCCAGGTGCATTGTTTCTCAGGAGTCTGGACAAACATTTTTTGGCTTTAATTTCCCAATGCCGCTAGGTTTCTTCCTGAGGAATTTTGGGATACTGTGGCCAAGTCAACATTGCAAAAACTCTGGACATTGCAGTACAGCTACATCCTATTTATTTTTATTTATTTATTTGATTTGCCAATTGTTTACAAGATAATAAGTATAAGTGTATACATAGTTGTGAATACATGAAATGGGTACATATAAGAAAAATAAAAGAATAAGAGAAACAATAGGACAGGGACGGTAGGCACGTTGGTGCGCTTATGCACGCCCCCTACAGACCTCTTAGGAAAGGGGTGAGGTCAATAGTAGACAGTCTAAGGTTAAAGTTTTTGGGGTTTGGGGAAGAGACTACAGAGTCGGGTAGAGTATTCCAGACATTGACCACTCTATTGCTGAAGTCGTATTTCCTGCAATCAAGTTTGGTGCGGTTTACTTTGAGTTTGTATCTATTGTGTGCTCTTGTATTGTTATGGTTGAAGCTGAAGTATTCATTGACAGGTAGGACATTGCAATGTATGATTTTATATACCATGCTTAAGTCCGTTTTCATAGGAACATAGAGATGAAAGTAGATCATGTAGTCTCTGTCCTTGCTATTACAGTTGAGGAAGTCTACCTGTGCAACATCCTTAATAAGTAGGATGTATCTTTGCTAATAGTCTACCATACTCAAAGGTAGTTTGAACCACTCTGAAATTGCTCATTTCTTCCTAATGGTCTATCAAAATACTGTCTTGTCATTTGAACCTGCTGCCTTAGATCAAAATAATTTATGTAACATTGAATAAATCTTCCCCATTATTGGTATGACAGCCCTTCAAAGATTTGAGGATGACAAAGTAACTTTAAATATTCTTCTGGTATTCTGAAATAAGAGACTTTGGTTTTTGAATATGGTTTATGCAAATACACAGCTAAGTAGTCCTAGTCCCATGGAGAATTTAAGGTTAAGAAGAACTTAAAGAAATGAAAATGCTTAAAGAAGTGAAAAACATCATAAAAATGAGACGTTTAACCAGGTATGTACTGCTTGCCAATTCTCCCAATTAATGGCAGGCCATTCCCTCTTTTTAAAACCCAGGTCAGAGTCACACTAATTCCCTAGTTCAGCATAGGGAGAATATTTTTTTAAAATACAGAGTAAGAAGAGAATATGTATTTTTATTTAAAAAACAGAAATATCATTAGAAATCCCTTAGTATTAACAGGTCTTTTTGCACATCCTATCTAGAACGTATTATATGAATATCATCTTCAGTCAGTAGGAAGATGGCTTTGAATGTAAGATAATTGCTCTTTGGGAGGGAGGGAGATGAAAATTCTAATCAAAAACACACTAATTAATCCATTCATTTTTGCATTGTGTTCACTTGAGTGTCTCCAGAAATCTCAGGCACCAGTTAATGGCATCTGTGGTCTCCATTTATCTGAAATAATAATAATAATAGCTGCAATTTAATTGTTATTTACAATTACTATATTATTATCATAATTTCTAATTATCCAATATTCTTTATTTAAGTACCCGAATAAAGGTTTTAGTGGTCTTTTTTTTTTGTCTAGGTCTATCATTACAGGTCTTTTCCCACCCACATCTGGAACCATATTGATTGATGGAATGGACAACCAAACACACATGGATTCCATCCAGCAGAGTTTAGGCATGTGCCCCCAAAACAACATATTATTCAAGCAGTAAGTGCTAATAGAAATGTGTTTCAAAGTTCTCCAAGAGGCCTTGATTTTGTCAGTAAAATGCTATAAGGTGCCAGGATATTGATATAAGAGGAAGGTCCCAATCTGCAAGATAGCAGACTATGCCCAGGATGTATGGGGTCTGTAGATATTCTCTCAGCCCTCTTTCTGGTCCATGCAGTATACAGATCTTCAATGGAAGGCAGGCTGATTGCAATAATTTTTTCTGCAGTCCTAACCTCTCCTGTTTGGTTGCTGTGCCAAGCCAAACATTTTCTACTTTTATTAAATAAAACTAAAAACGTTGGCAAAATCTCACTTCAGTACTGGCACTCACTATCATCTTATTCTAGTCTCCTGTCTAGACAGATCAAGACAGATGCTCTTCAACCCATGAAAGGGTTCTCCATAGCTGCAATAGAGCTTTCCTAGTATTCTCAAATACTATTTCTGATGGATTATGTTCTCTCCTCTTTCATAATTAATGAAGCCCCTCCTTCCATCTCCCCCTCCCTCTCTCACTCAAATAAGCCACTTGATGCCAATACGGTATACATACCTATTTCTTTTGCCCCTGAAAAAACATTTTTGAAGAAATATGAAAAGCAACATTTGCAACATTCTCATTTATTCATTCATTCAGTTTCCCTTTGGTCAGTTAAAACCACCATTTTTTTTTCTTTAGCCTTACTGTTGCAGAACACATCCAATTCTATGCCCAGTTGAAAGGAAGAAGCAAAGCAGAAACAAAACTGGAAATGGAAAAGATCCTGGAAGACATTGGCCTACCACATAAAAGGAATGAAGTGGCTCAAAACCTGTCAGGTGTGGGAATTGGAGAACCATAATTTGTCCAAAAAGCTACAGTAATCTGTTCTTATTCTGTATTAAGACTGTATTTCTATCTTTATTTTTGCAAGACTTTCTTGCAACATTTTATAAGAAAAATGTTGAATGCACATATTAAATAAGAAATACATTTCAGAGCAATACTTTGTCTGATAGTAAAACCTAAACAAGAATAATATGGCATCTTGAGCTATAGTATACTTCTTCTGGTCTAAACTGTTATGCACATTAATCCATTTTATCAAGTGCTAAAGTGGCTATATATGAGTTTCTACTAGACTTTGTAAAGTTGACTTAAATATTTGATGTGAATTCTCTTGTATGTTACCCAAAAGCAAACTGTCCTCCATTAAAGTAGACCTTTCTTGGATAAAAATATATAACTATGTTTTAAGATGCCCCCCCCCCCCCCCCAATTTCCCTTAAATAGGTGGCATGCAACGGAAACTATCCATCGCCATTTCTTTTGTGGGTGAAGCAAAAGTAGTAGTTCTAGATGAGCCTACATCTGGAGTGGATCCATACTCCAGACGCTCTATTTGGGATCTCCTTCTGAAATACCGCTCAGGTAATTTTATTTCAAAAAAAGTAACTCTGACTTTAAAACAACTTTATACTGCACTATAGGAAGCATGAGTTACTTGATAATAGTTTGGGTATGTATGTGTACTCAGTGTTGAATGTATGTTTTGTACTCTGCAGCACCACAAAAAGCCTGTCTTCCTTCCTTCCTTCCTTCCTTCCTTCCTTCCTTCCTTCCTTCCTT